GGAATCGAACCTGGTTCACCAGATTACGAGGCCACCGCTCTTAACCCCTACACCACACTGGAACCTTTGAATTCCTTGGAATCCTGTTTTTATGTTGTTTTTTGGATACGTGATTGTAAAATTTTAATCTGAAAAACCAAATAAATATTTTTAAAAACACACACACACAAAAAGAACTATGCGCTGTTTAGAGAAATACTTCAACAGATATGCTAATTAGAGGGACAGATCAGCGCCTGCCCAAACGGTCCCCACCCCGCCTTTCCCGCCCCTCTGGCTTACCTCGTCCAGGTGTGAGGCTCAACACTCCATCAGGGATGCCAAAAACCATCCCGCGGGCGTTGATGGCCTCGCAGGTGTAAGCTCCCTGGTCGGCCTCCTTGACGTCTTCGATGACCAGTGTCCCCCGCCCGTTCTTGCTCGTGATGGATACCCTGCGGCCGTAAGGGGTAGAGTCAGCATCCCCAAGCCCAGGTGGTGGAAGAAAAAGGTGGTGGGGGGGGTGAAGACCAGACACACCTGAGCCACCCACAGCTTACCTGCGGCTGCTGGGGATGTGGCCCCAGTTTAGCCTCCAGGTGATGATGGGGGTGGGGACACCCACGGCCACACAGGTGAAGCGGACCGTCTCTCCGGGGGCGGCCTGGATGGATTCCTCGGGGGGCGTGATCACCTGGGGAGGGGCTAGACAGGGAGAAGAATCATAGAGTTAGAAGGAGACCAAAGTATCATCTAGTCCAGCTTCTTGCAAGGCAGGAATCGCAAAAGAAAGGGGGGAGCATCTCTCTCGTGCTCTCCTTCCACCTCGACCATGAAATCTGCAAGTGGAAATGCCTACCCAGCAGTGGCCTAATGGTCAGCATGATGGACTAGGGTCTGGGAGACCAGGGTTCGAATCCCCACTTGAACACAAAGCTCACTGGGTGCCCTAGGGGGACAGTCACTGCCTCTTAACTCTATCTTACCCCACAGCGTTGTAATGTGGATTAAATGAGAATTATGCACACCAACACCACCTTGAGCTCCTTGGAGGGGGGATATAAACCCGATAAAATATTGGCTGGGATTGTAGCATTAAGCTCTGAAAGGATTCTAGTATTTGATTGCTGTACTGAGCTGCAATTTTGCAATTCGGCTGTGAGCCACTTTGGAGTCCACCTCTATGGAGTTCCATCCTTATTTCAGACATTGTGATATATCGATATAGGTCCGTATAGTAAAAGCCATGGTTTTCCCAGTAGTGATGTATGGAGGTGAGAGCTGGACCATCAAGAAGGCTGATCGCCGAAGAATGGATGCTTTTGAATTATGGTGCTGGAGGAGACTCTTGAGAGTCCCATGGACTGCAAGAAGATCAAACCTCTCCATTCTGAAGGAAATCAGCCTTGAGTGCTCACTGGAAGGACAGATCCTGACGCTGAGGCTCCAATACTTAGGCCACCTCATGAGAAGAGAAGACTCCCTGGAAAAGACCCTGATGTTGGGAAAGATTGAGAGCACAAGGAGAAGGGGACGACGGAGGACGAGATGGTTGGACAGTGTTCTCAAAGCTACCAGCATGAGTTTGACCAAACTGCGGGAGGCAGTGGAAGACAGGAGTGCCTGGCGTGCTCAGGTCCATAGGGACACGACTAAACGACTAAACAACAACAACATAGGGCACCCCCATCGGTGGTTTACCCTTCCATGGACTCCCTGCAGGCAGGTAGGAGTCAAGATACAGCCTGGCTTCACCTCAGTGCCTAAGACAAACCACTCACATCTGTAATCAATAAAATTGTGGCCTATTTGAACCCATAAACCAAATATTCCGTGTCAGGGTGATTTATTGTTTTCCTGGGAACTTTGTGGTTCATGTGCCTCAGGACACAAATCATATTCAAAGTCCACTTTTGGGGAGGGGGCTTAACGTTTCCCACTCCATCTTGCCTTTTCCACTCCCCCACCCCAAACTCACTGCAGCCAATCTCGTCAGAGCGATCTGCGCAGTCCGTCTCGTCGTCGCACTGGTAGCTGGCCGGGATGCAGGTGCGTGTGGACACACAGACGAACTGGTCTGGCGCGCAGGTGTCTCCAGGGCCCTTGGTAGCTGCGGAGAGGACAAGAGCATTAGCAGAGCAGCCTGGGGTGAAGAAACAGGCTCACCAGCTTGATATTGCTTTAGTGTGGCAGCACCTACACTGCGGAACTCCCCGCCTATTGACCGTCAGACAGGTGCCTTCACTGTACAGTGGTACCTTGGTTCTCAAACGCCTTGGTCCTCAAACAACTTGGAACCCAAACACTGAAAACCCAGAAGTGTGTGTTCCGGTTTGCGAACTTTTTTCGGAAGCGGAACATACTCCGTTTTGAGTGCCACACTTCCATTTTGAGTGTTACGCTGAGGTCTGTCTGTTTTTGCTATTTATTTTGTGTTTGTGTTTTTGTAGCTCTTTTTGTTTTGTTTTTGTTACTGTGTGGAACCCAGTTCAGGTTCTGATTTATTGTGTGACTGCAGTACATTGTTCATTGCATTCATTTTATGGATCAATGATCTCGTTAGATAGTAAAATTCATGTTAAATGGCTGTTTCAGGGGTTGTTTTTAAAAGTCTGGAATGGATTAATCAGTTTTGCATTACTTTCTATGGGGAAGCACGCTTTGGTTTTGGAATGCTTTGGTTTTGGAAAGGATTTCCTGAACGGATTAAGTTTGAGAACCAAGGTACCACTGTATGCTTCTCAGCACCTACTGAAACCATTTCCCAATGGAGCAGAAAAGACTATTTATGTACGTGACCATGGCTGTTCAGATGTTATTGACCCAGGGATGCAAAGAATATAAAGTCCTGACCAGAGAAGAATGGCAGATCAACTTGATGGATTAGGCCGAAACGGCAAAAGTGACCAGAAGAATCAGAAACCAGGAAGGCCAAAAATTTAATAAGTAATGGGGAGAATTTATAACTTATCTTAAAGACCACTGTAAACAGTTAAAATTGTTAGAATGATTGGAATGGCACCTGTAGTTTAAAGTTTTGATGCCATGTGGATGACTGCATACAAAGCTTCATGTATATGCCTGGCAACTGTTTTAAGAATTTTCAGTAAAGTTGGTAATACATAAACAAATAAACAAAGAAATGGTTCTATCCAATGCTAGCCCAAATGGCCACCTGCCAGTGATTCTTGCATTGCAGCGGGTTGGGCTAAATGACCACTAGGGGTCCCTCCCAACCCTACAATTCTATGATTCTATGAATACTGGGGATATACCCGTTGAAGTTACCAGAAGTGCCTAACTTCACCCCATTAATTCCAGTGGGCCCCCTCTGCTGCTAGTCCTACTCAGAGTAGACCCACTTATGTTCATTGGGCATGACTAACTTAAAAGATAAAGGGTAAAGGGACCCCTGACCATTAGGTCCAGTCGTGACCGACTCTGGGGTTGCGGCGCTCATCTCGCTTTACTGGCCGAGGGAGGCGGCATACAGCTTCCGGATCATGTGGCCAGCAGGACAAAGCCGCTTCTGGCGAACCAGAGCAGCGCACTGAAACGCCATTTACCTTCCTGCTGGAGCGGTACCTATTGATCTACTTTCACTTTGACGTGCTTTTGAACTGCTAGGTTGGCAGGAGCAGGGACCGAGCAACGGGAGCTCATCCCGTGGTGGGGATTCGAACCGCCGACCTTCTGATCGGCAAGCCCTAGGCTCTGCGGTTTAACCCACAGCGCCACCCGCGTCCCTTCAGGCCCCATTAATTCCAAGGGGCCTGCTCCAGGGGGAACTTAGCTAAATTCAATTCAAAGGGCCTCAGCTGTGGTGAGCAACCCGGAGTGTTTGTGTTAAGCCCTGGGACACGGAAACCCGGATGCAAATCGACAAACCCCTGGCGCTCCCAAAACGCTTACGGCAATTCAGCTCGTCCGAGCCATCTGTGCAGTCGTTGTCCCCATCGCATCGCCAGAGCTTGAGGGCGCAGTGCCCGTTCCGGCACTTGAACTCGTTGGGCTCGCAGGGGCTGGGAGTGCCTGTCCAGGAGACAGAGAAAATTCAGGAGCTGGTCCCCAGCCATCACCCACAAAACCCTCCCCATCTCTCAGGGGTTCTTTGAGCTGCAGAGTGATGGACCTCAGGGGTCACTTCTAACTCTAAAGATCTAGGACTCGATGTTAAAATAAGTTGAGATTTCTTACTGTTAGCCAGATTCCCAAATATCTAACTTTTTTTACATATTTTCAAACCAGACATTTTTTCTGATATATTTTCCAACTTATCATTTCTAATGTCATAATAAACAGCAATGGAGATAGGAGACCAGCTTGTCTTGTTCCTTTTTCTATTGGGCATTTGTCTGAAAGAATATTATTTATTAAAATCTTTGCGGATTGATCAGTATAGATCACTTTCATTCCAGCCAGGAAAGAATTTCCTATTTTCATTTTCTCTAATACCTTAATCAAAAATGACCAAGAAATATTATCAAAAGCTTTCTCCGCATCTAAAAATATTAATATGGCCTGTTTTCCATTTCTCACTTCCAAATAGTTACAATATTTTTTGCTCTATAAGACTCACTTTTTCCCTCCTAAAAAGTAAGGGGAAATGTGTCTGCGTCTTATGGAGCGAATGCAGGCTGCGCAGCTATCCCAGAAGCCAGAACAGGAAGAGGGGTTGTTGCTTTCACCGCGCAGTGATCCCTCTTGCTGTTCTGGCTTCTGAGATTCAGAATATTTTTTTGTTTGTTTTCCTCCTCCAAAAACTAGGTGCGTCTTGTGGTCTGGTGCATCTTGTAGAGCGAAAAATACAGTAATTACACTTCTTCTATTGTCCTTCATTTGTAGGCCTGGTAAGAACTTGGCTTGGTCTCTGTGGACTGACTCAGTTAGCGTCTTTTTTTAATCTGTTAGCTAAAATTGTAGCAAATAGTTTATAATCACAATTCTAGGACTCAATGATCAATCAAGGCCCTACTTTCCCCCACAAAACAGAAGCTGATGCTAGATTCCTCTGTGGCCCTGGTAAGCTGTAGCTCAGCGGCAGAACATCTGCTTGGCATGCAGAAGGCCCCAGGTTAGATCTCTGGCAGCATCTCCAGGTGGGGAATACCCCCTGCCTGATGGGCCACTGCTGCCAGTCCGTGTAAAAAGGTAAAGGTAAAGGGACCCTTGACCATTAGGTCCAGTCATGGCCGACTCTGGGGTTGCAGCGCTCATCTCGCTTTACTGGCCGAGGAAGCCGGCGTACAGCTTCTGGGTCATGTGGCCAGCATGACTAAGCCGCTTCTGGCGAACCAGAGCAGCGCACTGAAACGCCATTTACCTTCCCGCCGGAGACGTACCTATTTATCTACTTGCACTTTGACGTGCTTTCGAACTGCTAGGTTGGCAGGAGCAGGGACCGAGCAACGGGAGCTCACCCCGTCGCGGGGATTCGAACCGCCGACCTTCTGATCGGCAAGCCCTAGGTTCTGTGGTTTAACCCACAGCGCCACCCGCGTCCCGCCAGTCCGTGTAGCCAAAGCGAAATGGTCTGACTCTGTACAAGACTGCTCCCTATATCAATCAACGCATTTTTCAGCACCACAAAGACTAGAAAATTTGCTTTCAAGCCGCACGATGGGACATCTGCCTTGCATGCAGAAGGCCCCAGCTTCCATTCTCCAGGTAGGGCTGGGAACGTCCCCCTGCCCGAAACTCTGGAAAGCTGCTGCCAGCCAGTGCAGCCAACACAGAGCTAGGTGGATCCGTGGTCCGGCTCCTCAAGCGACTAGCCGACAGGGGCTCACCGCATCTGCTCTCATCGCTTCCGTCGCTGCAATCCCTCTCCCCGTCGCAGAGGTAGTCCCGGGGGATGCACTGCTTGTTGGAGCAGACGGCCTCGTCCTTCCGGCAAGGTCGCGGGAAGGGGGGCAGGGAGGGCTTGGCAGGGAAGATCCCAGGCGGAGCGGTGACTGGGGCTCGGCGGGTGGTCACTGAGGCCGTGGTAGCGGGCACCCGAGTGGTACCGGGCCGGGCGGAGGTGACAGGCGGCCGAGGGGTGGTAATGCCTGCAGAGAGAGGAGAAAGGAGGAAATCAGTGCCTCGTCCCGAGACTTCCAGCGTTCTGGTCTCAAACTCAGCACTTGCCTCTCCCGGACGACGCAAGGGAGACTAGGATGAATCGCTTAATACTCGCCGTGGCTTGATAGAGAGGGGGATGCAGGTAAGTCAAAAGGATAAGGAGAATTCAAATTCTCCTCATCTTTATTTTATATACAGTCAAACCTCGGTTGTCGAACGTAATCCATTCCAGAAGACCGTTCGACTTCCAAAACGTTCGACAACCGAAAACTGAAAGCGGAAGCCTCAACACAATAGGGAAACTCAAAACAGTAGCACTTTCAGCTTCTGAAAATTGTTCGAAAACCGGAACATTTACTTCCGGGTTTGGGGCATTTGGGAGCTGAAACATACGATAATGGAGGCATTTGGGAAGCGAGGTTTGACACTCTCTCACTCTGTGTATATAAAATTTTTATTAAATTTTCTGTTTTACAATTTAAAATACTCATTTAAACATCAGAAACCAGGAAGATAGAAACTTTAATAAGGAATGGAAAACATTTACAATTTACCTAAAAGAACACTGTAAACAACTAAAAACTTTGGCAGGATCTGAGCAACGCTTGTAATGTTTTGAAAATTAAGGTAAAAAAGGGATTATTTTAAGAAAAATAGAGAAAATATATGTCATGCAGTAGAAAAAGTTTGATAATGGAAACCATAGAGGGGTGAATCAAAGGATTCAGGGAATCCTAAATGTTGATGATTGTGATTATTGTTTGAATACAAAATGTACAGTGTGAAATTGAATAAAAAATATTAAGAATAAAAGAAGTGCTAAATGCTTTTCTTTTTTCCAAATGGGGCAGGGGGCAGCAACAGCTTCTGCCTAGGCCGCCCCCTGCCTCTCGTTCCTCACCGCAGCCGTCCTCGTCCGAGGCGTCGTCACAGTCGGCGTGGCCATCGCAGCGATCCTCCAGCAGGACACATTCGCCGTTGTCGCAGCCGAACTCATCGCTGCCGCACTCGGGAGCTATAGAGTTGGAAGGGATACTAAGAGTCATCTAGTCCAACCCCCAGCAATGCAGGCATTACGGATTCGTGGGGGTGAAAGGGATGCCGGCCGTGAATTCTCTGTGCCCCCCACCCACTGCCAACTGTGATAGAAAAGTTTGTTTTGCTGGGCAGGTTGGGTTCCAGAGTGTTTTCTTTTTCTTTTTTCCTGCCAGCAAACAGTTAACGAAGGGCAGCCTCTGATTGGCCGGGGTTCCAGGAGGGGGAGTTGGAAAGGAGAGGATTTTGAGCAGGGGTCAGCAAACTTTTTCAGCAGGGGGCCGATCCACTGTCCCTCAGATCTTGCAGGGGGCCGGACTATGTTTGGGGGAGGAAATGAACGAAGTCCTATGCCCCACAAATAACCCATAGATGCATTTTAAATAAAAGCACACGTTCGACCCATGTAAAAACACCAGGCAGGCCCCACAAATAACCCAGAGGTGCATTTTAAATAAAAGCACACATTTGACTCATGTAAAAACACGCTGATTCCTGGACCGTCCGCGGGCCGGATTGAGAAGGCGATTGGGTCGGATCCGGCCCCCAGGCCTTAGTTTGACTACCCATGATTTTGAAAGACAGTTTGTAAGTTGGGATTGAGGTAGGGAGCTAGGGAGTGAGAGGAGAGAGAGTTGGTTCTGGGTAGAAGCATCCACTCTGAGGAATATATCACAAGCTAGAGAAAGGAGTCTCTGCACTTAGTGTGAAGGACAGTGTATGGTGTCCTGTAAGAGTAATAAGCCAGAATTAACTGGGAGGCTGAGGCTGAGCCGGAGAAGCAGACGCTGTGAGGATACAGTCTACTTAGGTCTCATTCCAGTCAGGAGGGGAGAGATTCTTCTACAAAAAGAGAAGACTCCCAAACCAGTTAAGAGGGGTGTGGAGACCCCTTGGGTCTGTTACTTGGAGTACCTCAGGAGTAGGGTTGTCAAAAGGGTGTGTAACTGACAGAAAATACCACCTTCTTTAAGAACCAAAGTATTAAGCGGCAACAGCTGTGCAACAGCTGAGAAAGAACTGAAGTGAAATAGCGTTATAATCTGAAGTAGCCTATGTTTTACCCACTTTGTGTCATAAACTTATTTTGTTAAAAAAAATCGCTTGTTTGTTGGATCAAATCCTGCCTGAGACTCCAAATTATTAAGTTTTCCCTCACACAAGTCCCCCACAAGATAATCTGGGATAGGTAAAGGTAAAGGGACCCCTGACCATTAGGTCCAGTCGCAGATGACTCTGGGGTTGCGGCGCTCATCTCGCTTTATTGGCCGAGGGAGCCAGAGTACAGCTTCCGGGTCATGTGGCCAGCATGACTAAGCCACTTCTGGCGAACCAGAGCAGCGCACGGAAACGCCGTTTACCTTCCCGCTGGAACGGTACCTATTTATCTACTTGCACTTTGACGTGATTTCAAACTGCTAGGTGGGCAGGAGCAGGGACCGAACAACGGGAGCTCACCCCGTCACAGGGATTCGAACCGCCGACCTTCTGATCGGCAAGTCCTAGGCTCTGTGGTTTAACCCACAGCGCCACCCGTGTCCCTAATCTGGGATAGTTTGTAGGAATTGGTGGAATTGGTGTTCTGTGAGGTGGGTGCGCTATATTTAGGTGAGGGCAGGCGCAACGGCACCGGGGGGGGGAAGTGTTGTTGCGCCGTCGCACCATCACCCCCAGCCCACAGCCATGCTCACCGCAGTCCAGCTCGTCCGACATGTCCCTGCAGTCCGATCGGCTGTCGCAGAGGAACTCTTTGGAGATGCACTCGCCGCTCCGGCACCTGAACTCATCGGCCGTGCATGCGCGAACCACAGGCGTCACTGAAAGCAGATGAGGGGCATCAGGGCCACTCTTGCAGAGAGAGGTTAGGGGGTGTAGCAGGGAGAAGCTGGCTGCACTCTGGAGCCCTCCTTCAAGGAAAGGAGTGACTCCACCAAAACCTCAATCCAGCTCACAGTGCAAATTTGCCACGCTTTACATTGCACTAGTATGTCGTCACCCGCCCCCTTCCACGGGTCTCTTGCAGCTACGGGCGCAATCTTCCCTTCTATCACTCACTTTAAGGGCTGACAATGGTGACAAGAGTGACTCCTTTTTTCTCTATTATTATTATTTATTGAGTTTATATACCGCCCTATACCCGGAGGTCTGAGGGCGGTTCACAGAACAAATCACAACATATATAATCAGAATAAAAACAACAACCTAATAACACACACACCTCCCAGAAAAGAGCCACATTTTAAAAGGGTATAGGATGTCAAATAGATCAACCAAGGGCCTGGTTAAAAAGGAACATTTTTGCCTGGCGCCTAAAGGTGTGTAATGAAGGCGCAAGGCGAACTTCCCTGGGGAGAGCATTCCACAGACAGGGAGCCACTGCAGAGAAGGCCCCGTTCTCGTGTTGCCACCCTCCGAACCTCTCAAGGAGGTACATGAAGGAGGGCCTCAGAAGATGATCTCAGGGTCTGGGTAGGTTCATATGGAAAGAGGCGGTCCTTAAGGTATTGTGGTCCTGAGCCATTTAAGGCTTTATAGGTGGAAACCAGCACTTTGAGTTGGGCCCAGAAATTAATCAGTAGCCAGTGCACTCAGGCCAGGATCGGTGTAATATGCTCAAACCGTCTTGCTCCAGTGAGCAACCTGACCGCTGAATTCTGCACCAGCTGAATTCTACCCCCTCATCCCATCCTATCCCTCCTGGCTGCCTTCTTTATCCCCACAGCAGTTGAGTGAGGGTTCGCGCCGATGAATTCGAACCTTCCCATGGTCTCTGAGGATACCCTACATAACCTAACAGAATCTAGCTTGGCTTTGGAATTAACTGAGTTGCCCCCTGTAATTCCTGAATTGTAGCGGGTTGGGCTGGATGACCCTGCGGGGTCCCTTGCCATTCTGTGATTCTATTAGCTGTGACTCCTCCATTGCAGGGGGCTAGACTACTATTCTTGGGGCCATCCTGGGGAAGGCTTCACCCAGCCTTGGTGGTGGGGGCAATTC